TTGACATCGTGTAAGCTTAGTTGACATAGTGTTTCTGTGTAAGAGGGCATTACTTCTTTAGAAATCTGAAGCATGAAGTAGAGAGCAAAATCCATTCTCCTCTGCTCTTAAGTAAACATTTTAATTACAGGATAAGCTGCTTGTTTAAAATATTTCCTTGACATGTTGCCTCGTTAAATTCAGTACTGAGCGAAATATAATGGAGATCATGGGTTTGATTCCAAATAGTTTCGCAAATGGCAGCACGTGCCAAAATCCAGTATTTATATAAAATTCTCTTATCCCTAGTGGGATAATTATATAGGCCCACTTGTATAGGAGCCTATTATAAAGAAATATGTGTTATGCTGTGTACCTTGAAAATGTGGCCTAACAGTAAGCAAACCTTTCAGACAATATAATGTCATTCTTAACCTAACAAGCATATGTATTTCTGTTACAGCTTCATGTTAATGTAGTCAGTCTTACTTTCCTATTTTGTTTTTCCCCAAGGTAACAGTGTTTACTGAGGCAAGTATAGCTTTTTTTTCTCTGCTGTTAATCTACTTTTTAATTAAATTTTTTACTCTGGATTGTACAATCTGTCTTTCCGACCTTCATAACACTATCATTATTGATCTACTAGAGTCATCAACAGATGTCATTTACTTCTTCCCAGTTATTTCTCTTTAACCTAGACAATGTAAAATGAAAATTTACAGTGTTCTTTGAAATCTCAGACAAGCCTTTTTTAGGTCTCAACTTTTCATTTGTGGCCATCTTCATATTAAAATGTCAAGGAATACTTATCAGAGGGCTAAACTCCTGATTTGTGTGCAGGTGTTTTTTCTGTCATCAGTTTTTTACAACAGGAATGGGTTCCTCCATGCTGCTGTTCTTTCAGCAGAAAAAGCCTGAATGATGAGCCTTTGATGCAGCATGATACAGTGATGTCATAGAACAACAAATCTATGTCCTGTTGTTTAGACAAAAATTCTTAGTGAGCTCAGAGTTAACTGTTCCAAGTCAGCACTTTCTATGATTCTCTTATATTTTGCTTTTACCTTTTTATTAGTGAACTGATATGGCTTTGATGAAGATTCACCAGAGTCATATCACAGTTTGCATCTGCCTTTCTCATATCCCATTCACCCCATGAAGCTCTGCTGGGCTGCATTTCAAACCCATTACGCTCACAATGTTCTCTTCCACCATGGTATGCACACAGGTCACCTTGCCGAGCTGTGAGAACAGCGGTACATAACCATCAACTCTGTGAAGAGATTTTTAGTAACTCACTATTACTTCTCTCGGTCTCTTACTTGACATTTTTGTTTCAGACAGGTTCAAAGATGTTTGTTCCATTTTCTTAGATAGAGAAAATTATAGATTCAGATTTTGGATGCTGGAGACAATACAGTGATAGAGAAGTTGGGGTAAAAGGGGTGTGGTGTTGTCAGTTTTGACAGAACTGTTAACCAAGAGTTAAGAGAATTAATTCAGTGAACAGATCTCTTCACATGCATTTTCTATTACTGCCGTGTATTTCTTCCTGAGAAGTGCATGTAAATTCATTGAAAGCTTTACCACATCTAAAGTAAATTTATGGTCATTTTTTTAAACCACAAAATCAGTTTACTAATGTAGGAACTGAATTAGGTATGTCATCCATACTTCAAATCATTTAAATAAGAATTAGCTTCCTTGGAAACAGTAACTTATCTAGGAAAATGTATTTAACCAAAAATCTCAGAGTTTCTTTTTATAAACAGAGTATTTAAGGAATATGTTTGGATGAGTGGCTTGAATAAGTGCTGCAGGTTTTCTATGAGCAATTTGCTCATCTGATTTGACTTAAAGTTACAAACTACTGTTTACATGGAGTGGTAAGACAGGCTTACTAGTAGTAAAAGCTCTTTTTTTTTTTTTTTTCCTCTTCTGTTTTTCCCAGTTACCACACTTTGGTAGACCACACATACAATTTTGTGCTTTCTTCAAAAAATCCAAAACTTCTGCTATTCAGAAGGATTACAGGGAAACTGAGGAAGAGGCAGAAATGGTTGGTGTTTCTGAGATTTTAAATAAAGTTAGCCTGTTTAATAAACACTAAGTAACATAAGTTCACTGGATGCTTACAGTAAAATTTCTTGCAGGATTCTAGTTATGTCATGAGTTTCAAAAAGAGAATAAACAGATACTAGAGTTTTAGATCCTGCTGTGTGAAATAGTAATATAAATTGTGGTTTGAAAAGTCATTACACTGACTACCCTTACACTGTGGGCTGGCTTCCTTCAGGTTTTGTTTGAGAGATCGGTCATCACACTTGATGTACCCACTGAGGATCACACCAGAATGCTTTTTTGTCATGTGCTATGAAGAAGATATTAAGTGGTTGGGAAATAATACATTAATAAAGTACATTTCAAAGTAATATAGTTCTGAATGCCTGTTACAACTGAGTCTTAGTTGTGATAGGAAATAAATCAGATTCTTGCGGAGTCTAAGTTGGCCTGGAGTTGCATTCATCATTCCAACATCCTCTGACACCACATTGGTAATGGGTTATTTCTTCCCCTCGCATGGATCATAATAGTGTGGCTTCATTCAGCAATATATAAGATCAATATTTTACAAAATATGCAATCCCAAAAAGCGTTTTACAAAACATTATATAAATTTTATAAAAATGGATAACGTAAGACGTTTAATCTGTGCTCCATTAAATACCCATCTTTCTGTACATTGAGCTGTTCTGTTACAAATTCAGATTTTCTGTATATTTATTGAGTTGACCTTTTGCTGCATTTTACAAGAGAATTTAATGATACAAGCTTTTTCAGAGTTGAAAGTTCTAGAACACAGTCATTAACCAAAAATATTGCTAAAACTTTAGATTTCTTTTAGTTTATATCTCAGGTTTTCCAAAGCTTTGCTGATGAACAAAACTTTTCCTTTTTTATCCTTTGCCTCACAAATCCTGCTGAGTGCAGCAATAGGTGTATAGTTCGTGTACTATCAGTAAATTAAAACTACTTTCTTCAGAAGAACAGTACCAAAATAGCTGGTTTTGGGTACTGCTTTTTTTGGGCAGGATTACTGTTGGATGGTGGAATTAGAACTTGGTCGCCAGAGGGCTAGTAGACATGGAGCCAGCCACAGGTCATGTTTGCTTCCATAGGTTTGCAGTGCAGGTTCTCAGGTTTATAACATGTCTACAAAGCAATTTTTCTGTGGTGTACTGGCACAGAATTTATCTGAAATTATTTTTGCCTTCCTTTTTCATTGTTTTTCACCCCCCTCACTCTGACTGTGTGTCTTCACTTGTGTCCGTACTAATCCGGATACATACGTAAACTATTTCACGTATTTTGCTACTGGTTGAATAACCTTTTACGCTTCTCTTAATAGAATTTCAAAGGCAGTTTTGTTTTCTTAATCTCTATTCCACATATGGTGAGGCATAAAACTCATGTGTACATCCGTTTCAGGAACACAGCAGTCATGGAAGCCATGGGGAATAGTTAGCATTGGCAAAAAAGAATTTATGTAGATGGAAGTAGCTTGCTCTGAAGGTCATAATTAGTGAGTTTTGTGATTAAAATTTTGTCAACCTTTAAAAATAAAGTCTAGAGGCAGTGTCTCATTGTATATAGCATTTACCTCTTTGACATACAAGCCCGTTAAAAACAGGTGCAAAAGTCTTTCTGAAAAGCTCCTGAGTCCTGTTTTTGAGGAAAGATGAGGCAAGAGGTGACTTGAGAGGGAAGTCCCCTTAGAATATGTCTAAAATAAGCAAAAGTATTATATTAAAATATTAGAACTATAGCATGGTATTTTGCAGGTCCTATTTCCCCATTATTCTAGCTCTGATTTGTTTTTAATAGTATCATTTAGTTTATGTTCAGTATTACTGTTTGTGTGTCAGGAACTGCAGTTATCTGAAAGCAAGATGTTGAATCCACTAGGATTCCCTAAAGCTCCTGAAACTGCCCTTGATGCTCATAAACTTAGCGGATTGGATCTTTGGTAAATATAATAATAATAATAAAGTAAACTATTGTGAAAAAGGATAAAATTCTTTTTCTCCCCAAATGCTGCTTAAAATTATTTCCCTATTCTTTGATGTTTTCAATAAACAAGAAAATACACAAAATACACCATCTTTACAAAGAATCAGTTTCACAGTATGGAGTCGTTTTGTAACTCTGTGGAAAAGCTAACATTAATGAAATAAAACTCGGACTAGAAGTCATCTTTAGAACAATGAGATGGTCTTGGCTCAGCATAATGGACTCACCTTTACACAAACCAAACCTATGGATATTAATAGAAAAAAGAAACAAAATATTTTGTAGTATATTTTAATTTCCTAGAGGACTTGATATATTTTTAGATTTAATGTGTCTATTATACTATCATTATTTATGTTCTTCATTATACTGGTTTTATTTTTAATTTCTTTTGACTTATGTTGGTTTTCTGTTCTTTTTTTCTGTAATACAGGGGCCCTTCATATTAGCTTTATTTTTAGAAGGATTGCATAAAAGTGGTTTTGCATGCCCTTTTTATGTAACTTTTTTGCAAGCATGCTTTTAAGGCCAATAATTCCTTCTTACTACTTCTGCATTGATTGTAAAATATGCATATTAAATGCTAAGAGTAATGCTGTAGCTGCAACTTGAGTAAACTTCCATTTAGTTAATCTTTTATTTTAATTAGTTTATAAAAATCCTTAATGAAACATTGGACTTGTGTGCACCAAAATACGATTTTGAAAATTTGAATTAGGTACACCTTTTTCTTGCCTTCTTGTTTGTGGTTACATGTGTGATTACCTATTTAAAACATTTTACAATATGTCACCTGTTATAGCTATTTTCTCATCTTTCAGCAAGAGAAAAAGATACAAAGGTAAAATGGACTTTGTGTTATATACAGTAGTGAGAAATTCCTTGTGTAATGTAGACAAATCACAAACTGATCATTATAGCAAACATTTAATAAAATTAATTGTTTCTAGGTTCCATGGTTCCTTTCTCCATGCGGATTTTACATGCTGAACTTCCTCAGTACCTAGGTAATCCTCAGGAATCACTTGACAGACTGCACAGTATGAAGATAATCTGTGCCAAGGTAACAGCTTCTCTATGCACTAACATTTCTTAATGTTTAAGGAGTATATTCTATTGTCCTTATAAAGAACATTAAGTTTCAACTATTACATTTTTGTATTCCATTTGATACAAATAAAGAACTCGCTAATAGAAGTTAAATGCCTCTTCCATTTTAGGATAAATCCTTTTCTCCTCTGTGGTAACTCTGACTAAAATGAGTAAACCAGTGGATAACGTACTTCTCTTGCTTTCGTGCTTTTGCCAGACAAGACATGGACAATATGCAGATGTGTTTAAGGGCAACTAGGAGAATTTTCTTCCCTCATTCAGCTACGTCCAGATAGCTCAAAGCACAGTTGTTAATGATCTTTCTCCTTCAAAAATAGTCTTGATCCTTCAGAAATAGTCGGTATAGCTGGTTTTGGAAACAACAGACATTTGGGAATATAAATACAACTTGTTGAGTTTGTTTTGGGATATTTTTGTTTGTTTGTTTTGTCAAGTGCTATAATACAAAATTATGGCCTAAATTATAACATGGAAGATTTGTCGGTGGTGAAATTGGAGTGATGGTCTTGTAAGCATGGAACTTATCTACTAAACCCAACATCCTGACTGTTAAGCATTCATCCTTAAATGTTTTTTACATAAATTTTTCCCAAGTAGTCTTAATGCAACAGTAGCTGTGACTGTTACAATGTGGCATACTCTAGAAGAAATGCAGTGTTACTGTTTTATGTGTGACATTTGAAAGTTCAAAACTGTATATAAGATAAATACATGTGATAATTTTTATTTTCAGTATTCCTTGGATTTTTCCTGTATTTATTCCTGAAAATAACTTGAATAACAGAAGTGAAGGGATTTGGTAATTGTTAATTGTGTAGCTGTAATGGCCTTATGTATATAAAATCAGGTTGCTTCTAGCACAGTAGTGGCTAGGATAACCAAATGTTTACAGTGAAAAAAACAGTTCTTTGTATTATGAGGAGAAAAAGGTGAAAGGCTTAAGTAGTAAGAGATGAATGTGGCATTTGTTATAGAATTGGAAATAATTGATCTGGAAAAAGTTGAGAGATATATCTAATTTGACCAAGAAGTGCTATTTTTTGGCACTTCACAAATGCTGCTACCTGTTCATGACCATGTCATCTAATAATATTACTGGCAGGCTGTTTTCTCTAGCCTTTTCCTTCATAAACAGTCCTCCTCAATTTGAAGTCATTTTTTTCTTCTATGAAGTGCCATACTCTGTTGCAGGATTTCACAGTGCTTCTACTGACATTTGCCTGCCTTGGTCTGCAGCAGATCAGCTGTTTCATATATTGGTTTTATGCAATCTGGTATTAAGTGCTGCATGTCTCCCCTTAGTCATGAAGGTGCCACTAGATTCCAAAAATTTAACTGTTTTCTGACTTCCTTTATCTTGTAACAGAGAGAAAAAATTGTATGAATGTGAATGATGAAGTGACTGCTGAGCAGTGTGTTCCATCAGCCATCTGGCTAACTTTATTGAAATGGCCATATCTCAGTTACAGTGTGATCAGCCATGATTCTCCACAGATTAAAGATTATCAGTCAATAGAGGAATGAAAGAAAAGGAAATTACCACCACCCCCCACCTTGCCGCCTTCTTTACAAGACATTTAAGTCATCTACAACCTTGAGGTGCTTCTTTTCCTTGAAGTGCATATCCTTAGAGCATACCCATTATATCAAGGAAGCTTTTAAACAATAATACAAGATTTTGTTTGAACATGAACTAGACTGATTTTTTTTTTTAAATAAGGGAAACTGGATGTGCTGGAGAAGATGAAATGGAAATAAAGGAGATTTACAAATTAATATATACCTATTTCCCTGCATGCTAAGTTCTTGAACAGGTCTGTTTACTAATTTTCTCACTCCATCAGCTGCTGGTGGCCTAGTTCCGTTACAGATTCTGTGTGAATCCTTGTGCCTTTGGGGAAAGCTTCTTTGAGGCTGGCTGTATGTCTTCCACTAGCTCTTCTGAGGTGTCCCCTGTTCTCTCTATGTACTTGCTTCTGGTTCATGGATTGCCATCGCTTTCTCTCTGCCTTCCTATGTTTGAGTTTGCAGAGTTTGTCCCAGGTTAGTCTGTTCAGTTGCAGTCAGAAAAAAAGAACGCTCTCCCTTTGCTTCTGACAGCTTCCACTAGAGACAGGATATAGTAGCCAGGACAAGCCATTGTCTGTGCTGATGGATGCTCCTTTTTAAAGTACAGTACACAGAAAACTACAAACCTTACATCTCAAGGGAATATTTCTGATCAGTTATTCTAGACACCTCACTGCAGATTACTTAATTTGTTTGCATTTAATTAAATACCTTGTCTTTTGGAGCAATTCAAAGACAACTGTAGAAACAAGAGTGTGAAAAAGGACAGCTTGTAAACATAAATATGTTCTTAAAAGACAGCTGTAAATTGGTGATAATTTAACCATTTGAAGTCAGCATTGGCTGAAAAAACCCCATTTTTTAGATAGATGTTTTGATTTTTTTATAGAACACAGTCTAATAATCTCAATCTCATGTGGAGTGTTCAAGAGTAAGGTTCATAATACTTATGAAAACCTATGGCATAGCCAAGAAAGTAATGTAAAGCATGTACAGTCATTAGTCTTAATATTTGTATAAGACACTTGGGAACCATTTCAGTTATAACAGAATTAATTGGGGAGCTTTCAACCAAAGCCTTCTAGTGTTTTACTTCCCTATTTTAAAAAGCGGAAAAATAATCTTTGGTCATCCGTATTTACAGAAGGGCGTACGAATAGTCATTATGTAAATGAGATGATCTTGGAGTCATAGAAGCTAGAAGAGAAAAAAGACCTATTAGCTCACCTAGTCTGTCTCTCTGCAACACAAGGTTGTTTTCTAGTTTTTAATGAGCCAGCCTACGGAGCTGAGGCCACATCCCCTGGGAGGCTATTCCAGGCTAATGCTAATGCATTCTTATCATAAGAAAATTTGTCTTTCTGTTTTGTTTCTCTTCCTCAATGTAATTATGCTTTTTTTCCTATCTGATACTTCCTTTTAACTTGCTAAATTCCATTTTGCTTTTTGTTGTACGCATTCTACAGACACTTGTTAAGTTTGGATTAGCCATTCAACTTAAAGATCTAACCATGTTTACTTTGTCACTATTTTGGTAACCTGATCTCTTCAGCCGCCTTCTACTTAACATATTTCTGGTACCTGAAGCAGGCTTGGAGGTTGCGTGCAAAACCATCATTTTCATTTTCCCTGGATAGGAGAATGTTTTTACCTTTTTCAGCATTCCTGAAAATTTGTAATCAAGACCTGGTTGCATATTTTACATCTCTGTCTATACATTCAACATTTCAGAAAGAAATATCTGTAGCACCAAATGAGTCTTATAGTTTGTGGGAGGAATCCAGTGAAATTGTTACTGTCTCTGTGTTATTGCTGGGCTTCGCAATGTGAATTGCCTCAATGAGTTGTTGCCCTTATAATTCTGCCTTCAGATACATGGTCTCTAAACAGCCAAGCAGTAAGAATAACAGTAGTAATTTAAATCACGGAAGGGTTTGTTCTTTTTAAGTATTCATTTAAAAACATAGGCATGATCACTTTAGTGCTCATAATGCTGAGGACATGCTAATAAATGCTTACCCGGAGACCAAAATATGAAAAGAACAACAGTCAGGTTTAATCTAAACTCCTCCCTTGTTTGTGCCGAAGATTCCTAGCTGATTGAGGGAGAGCTCCTGGAAATGCACACATCTTATAGTGCAGTGTATTTCACTTCTTAACCCTAATCCTTCAAGTGTCAGAGCTGTACTGGGCAAGATCTTCTACCAGGTGGATGGAGCAGTGGCAAGTAGGTTAACAGTCTTGCTTCCTAAAAAAGCCTCTGCAGAACTTTTCAAGATTAACTTTGTGACAGTTGTCCAATCAGCCACTCCCTCTGTAGTTCCACCACTCTCCTTCATGAGTAGTTATGTTCTTCCCTGGCCCTTCCATACACACTCTTCGTATCTCCTGGTCTTCTGGTTTTACTTCCAAATTGATTAAATTTTCAGTCTCTTAGCTACTAATTGTTTTTGGGATTTATTTTCATTCAACTTCCAGTTCTGGCTCACTACTAAAGTCACATAAGTATTCTGTTTCTCATACATTACTTCAGTCTAGGGAGTATTTGCTTAACCCCTTGTTTGATGAATTTGTAGAAATGATCCTGCACCAGTCTGAGTACTAAAAAGCCACAATTCCAGAAGCACCAAAAAACATTGTTTTGAGTAAGAAGTTAATGCTGGTGAAAAGTTGTGGAAGAAGAAATAAAGTATTAAGAAGAGATACCTAATGATAGAAAACTAGGAATGCAATTGGTGGTGTGCATAGGTTAGTGTTACAGTATACGGGTGATTGATAGGGAATGAAACCGAAGAACTCAGTGAAGTAATACTAGCCAGTGAAACTATTGAGTGTGCATTTATAAATATTAAAAACAAGAAGCAGCATAGGTCATATGTAAAACTAAATGTTTAAAGTAAATGGTAGAAGCTTTCAATTATATTTCTCTTTATAATAGGAACAAGCATGTTTAGAGCTATCCCATATGATATTGCTAGAATAAATAGTTTACCATCTGTAGAAAAGGGGGATGAGGGGATTTGCTAAAATTTAAGATGTCAACTAACCCAGATAGCTTACACTGAGGAACTACCAGAATCATTAATGTTATCATTAAACAGTTCATGGAAAACTAGGAAAATGCCCAAATACTGAAAAACTGCATGTGATGTTCCTGTCCTTAAGAAGGGCAAAAGGAAATAAACCTGGGGAATAAAACAATTAGCCTCAAATCAGCACCGAGTTCTGTTTTAATTACGTTGAGCTTGAGGTGACAGCTAGATATCCCCAAGTAACGTCACAGAATGGTTAATATAATACTCTAATTGTATGCTAATATTTAATTCTTTCTTTTTTGATGATGTTAGCACGTTTTCAGAGAAACCCATTGTCTTTTTAAACAAGACAGCATACCTCATTGATGAAGGTACCTTGTTACGTTTAGACCATTTCAAGAGTAAGAACTTCAAGCCTTATTGAGAATGAGGAGTGATCACTAGACTTTTTCCAGAGGAAGAGAAAGATGATGGCTGCACAGAAAATAGATGATAAAGTGGTTTTGGTTTGTGGAAGAGAAGAATAGGGTTTTTTTCTCTTGACAAGGTGCCTCATTATACACTAGGCATTTAACACTGAAATGTGGTGCTTTGGTTTCTAAGTGATTTCTGAGTGGCTACACTGCTTTTGAAAGTGGGACTGAGATTCAGTCTTGCAGGCATGCTGCTGCGATCTCATAAATTGCCACCTATCAACTAAGCTGCAGTATCTACTGGTGTACGTTTATAGCCTCTCAAAATCTGAGGTAAGGCAACTTAGCCTAGCCCTCTGTGAACGAGGTTAACACTAAATCATATTACTTGTATTCGTCATGGGCTAACAATTCTTACCAGGGAAAATTGCCCTGGCTCAGCTGGCATGTGGTAACTGCTGTCATTTCATCGTATGTCTTTCCTTGCTCTTAAGTTCCTTGTAGCTACATTTATGGTACCTAACTTCAAGCTTTCACTCTAGTCTGTGAAGAGCTTGGTATCTTGGAGGGCAATTCCTAATGTCTACAATAGGTGGCATGAACTGGCTTCCTGGAGGTACCGATTGCTCTTCATTGGCTGTAGAAGGTACCAACAACATGCTGTCTGAAACCAGATTAATTCTACCTGTCTTTGCTTTGGAGGATTTCCTGTGTTGTTTTTAAGTGTTTGCTTACAAAGCACTGAGCACAACTGGAATGCTTTGCTGGTGCAGGAAAAAACAATTACTTCTTACACTGGCAAAAGTTGAGAGCTCTGTGTTTGGAAATGAACTCAGTCCCCAGAAGAGACAGTCCCTTGTATTTCCCTAATTGGATAACCACAGCAACTGATTAAAGAGCAAGTGGCCTTAATGTTTTTGGGGTTTTTTTTTAAGGAAATCTCGAGCATTGTTCTATAACCAAAGTTATGAATCTGTAACAGGAAAAATGGGGTGGTTGTGGCAATCAGAATACAAATTTGGATAAACTGTAATGGGATTAGAAAACGGCAAATTTACTTGCATTTCAAATGGAACCTTGCATACATATTTTAAAAGTACTTGAGACACAAGCTTCAATAAGTATGCACCTTCATTCTTCATTCCTCCAATAAAGCAACGTTAATTCATTCAACAATTTACATGATGTGAAATCTATAATAAATAAAAATAAGGGATAAACCCCAAACTTTGAGAAGGAAAATACAAGAAGAGTACCTCATTAAGGACAAAAGGCTAAAACCAGAGCCCATACTTAGGGTGGGGGAGTCAGGAGGCAGTGGCTTTCTGTGGAAAATCAGTTTGACTTTCTTTGTGGTCATTAACATTCATTCTCTGGTGAAGCATATTTCATGTATTGCCTAACAAAATATGTATGTCCCTAGAGTGTGCTGACATTTAATGTTCTGTAAGTATCATAAACCTGAACTCTAACATCCTTCTACTGTAGAATGGCTTTCTTTGTGCAATTTATCTAGATATGGTAATAATCAGTAATTTTGAACTGTACCTAAGTGAAGCATTCCTGAATGAATTGGTTTACATATAGTCTGTCAATTATAGATAATCTTCATTAAATATATAGTGCTGTTTAAACTCATGTTGGTTACTTTATAAAATTTACTACAGATATTAGAAAATTTGGAACAAGGCTTAGCTGAAGATGGAAGTATGACTAACATTACACAGGAGAACAGACAAGGTAGGTATTCTTCAAACATTTTTTTCACAGGCAGTGTGTTTTTATCACTTGCCTAAGTATGCCAGAGTTTTCACAAGACTGCCCCAGAGTTGGTAAAACAGTAGTTTTGTAATCTCATAGCCTACTTAGCTTCTGAAATGATACAGCTTGTACTTTTATTTGCTGGAATTAATTTCACAGTTTTGCCCTTGATCAAACTGATGCACTAAATCAAATTTTTTTTCCTGCTTAGAAGAAACAAAGCACATGGCTGCTATCCTTTAGTGATTAATACATAAATGTATTGCTGTTGCAGCTAAATGGATGTTTCATCTTAAGCCTTGGCTGACTGGCTCCTCTTGGTCCTCATGTCTGAAATCCACTGAATTTTTTTAGATCAAACTGCCATTATACAAGGGCTACACTGGCCTAGGATGCTGCTACATAGATGGCTGAGTCTAACTGTAGCTGCATGGCACTTAAACTCCTGAAATACCTGAGTCTCTTTTTAGAATAAGATTCAGATAATACTAATCTACATTGTCATTTTAATGGTTTCATATGCAATTATTTTTTTCCTATTCCTTCTTAGTTGTTTAACTGCAATGGTATAGGATAAAGAAGGCTCATCAGGAAAAATTAGTTGTCCAAACATTTTTTTAACAAAATTTATACTAATGTGGTCACCTGAGTACACTTAAGAATTGGACAAGAGATTTTCCTCATTTTTATGGATCACACGAACCACTCATGGTGCCTAGCAAGTTAAAAACTTCATAAAAAACAAAACCAAAAACCTTTCAGCTTCAGCTAACAGTCTAAGGAGTCTTACCAGCTTCCTTCTAGGATAACATTCACCTAGAGCTTGTGGGAAGTAAAAGTCTTCCTCTGAGATAGGAAGAGGCAGAGTAGAGTTGTTAGCATAATTTTAAAATATTATAAATAATTCCCTAAAAGAGTGTCTATATGGAAGGGTGCAGACCTGTCTGAACTCTTCTGCCTGGTCTTCAAATTCACTGGATGTAAAACAGCTTTAATATGTTACTGTACTTGACTTAGGGCATATCTAGATGGTGCATTAAAAAAGTGAACACACATGTGAACAGCATATGTCATAAAGGTATTTGCAAATATAGTTAAATGAATACATTTACTACTTTTCTCAAATGGATTAGGGAAGAGAGAAATAACCTGATACTGAAGATTTATCCACAGTGTTCCAGGAGTTTCTGTTGTTCTCTCCTTGTATCCACTATTCTTATTGTCTCTGTTCTCCTTCTTAGTTTTCCCTGTTGTCTCCTTTCTACTGTCAATTTTGTCCTCCTTATCTCCACATTCTTTTCCTTTTTTCCCCTTTAAAACCAAGCCAGTGATCCCTCTAAGGTACAAGGACTTCTTTCTAGCTGTGTCATAATCCTGTGTCCTGCAGCACTCATGAGTTTCTGCCTCCTTGCTTTTCCACTCTGCTGCTGCTTTAGAGCTGAGATGAGCTCAGGAGGAGGCATAGTTGGAAAGGCAGCAGCCAGTAGTTACCAAGGGACAAGGTTGCTGAAAACTTGGGGAGATCTTCGTATGTCTACTGTGCAGCTGCCTGTAGGTTTAAAAGTGCCAGAAAGCCCATGGGACCTTTGCAGAGTACTGACTGCGGTTGTCTCTGGAGGTCAGCCAGGTCTGCTCCCTGTCTGTTTCTTTGCTGCATTTGGAGTTCCAGGAGGCTGATAATGGGTTTGGTTTTTTTTCATGTGAAACTAGCTGAAGCAAACCTTACTAACTTTATATGAAGACAGCCTTAATTCATTACGGGGATTATGCTTAGCCTGTAATTTCCTTATTGCTGGTGTAAGAAGGTGCCACACCAGTCGAGTTACCATGTACATCTCTTCTAGTCTGGAACAGAGCACCTCATTTTGCCAGTTTTTCAACAGGCAGAGATTTAGCATTGCACCACTTGCTGGGTAACACATTCTGTAAGATGCCAATTTTGCAACTTTGCAGTGTACAGAGCTCCTATTGAAATGATGGCAGTGTGGAGTACAGAGTCCTTGATAAATAAGTTAAAACAAATGCTTAGAGTGGAAGCATGTCTGCATGGACCTTCAGAGTGGGTTTCAGGCATTTCAGTAAGGCTGTTGGGTTTTCAGTTTTGTTTACTGCTTTGCAGGTTTTCTTTAACCCCTTTCTGCCAGTGCTAAGAAGCCTTATCCTACAGGGCTATGAAATTTCCAGACCGAGTTCCTGTTCAGTTTATATCACAGACTGAAAACATCTGGTCTGTCTGCTTTGCAGTCCTTTCTCAGAATCGTAGCTGGTGCTATTCAATTGTTAGGAAACTTAGATGTCTCCACTGCAGGAATCAACATCTAATTTGTTGTCACCCGAGTCCTAAAAATCTGAATGTAGTTACCAAACTAGGAGGATATGCCAAAAGGAGAGATTAACAAGTAAAATAATAAAGAGTAGTTTTTAATTTTACAGATGCCCGCAAGAAAAGAAAAATTGAGAAGTATCATAAAATACTTGCTCATGTTTTATAGCATGCTCTCCATTAATGTAGAGCTTATGTGGTCAAGGGGGAATTTCTAAAACAAAAGCTAGGAGTAATGAATGATTTTAGGGTACAGTGGATGAAATACTGGGTTCAGTCTTGGGGCCCATATTATGCCTCTCTTTTGACAAAGATAATTAGGCAATATCCATAGGTTGGTTTTTTGTTTTGTTGTTAGAGAGGATTGAAGGAGTTTTCTGTTTTATGAAGGGGAGTAGACATTTCACCAAGCTCTCTTATTTGTAATGGCATTTATGTGTGCTGAAAGAATTATCTATGTGACCTGCCATGCTTTCATCAGAGACTACACTACTGATACAAATGAGTGGTCTCAGTTACCACAATCTCATTGAAATAGCCTCTTCTCCCTTTCCTCCCCCCCTTTCAAATCATTACAGTGACCTTGACAGCTGAGATACATTTATTTTCCAAATGTACTAAATTAATACTCCTAATGTTTATTTTTGAGGATTAGAGGACTATTTCTAGCATTGATCTATGGTACTGTAACACAAGAGAAAATAAGGATCTGTGTGAACATCTCTTACATCAGGAGTCTGTCGGCAAAGCAGGAGAGAGAAATCTGCTGCTGCAGCTTTTAATGCCTGCAAGCTCCAGGAGCATGGGGAAAGCAGACAGGCTTGGCAGATTTTTTCCAGCACATCTCTAAGCCAGAGGCAAGCACGAACAGTCCCAGACTCAGACAGTTCTGACCCTGTATGTTTTGGTTCTGAAATGACATTTTAGCTGTGTTTGATTTTTTTTTAATTTATCACATTTAATGTTGTAGATTACATGTTTTTAAACTGATGCTCATTATCACTTGAATCTTTTTATGCACCTTTTGTTCTGATATTGGAAAATGTGTGGCCTCTTTTGGTGTTTAATATTTGGCCTGAGCTCAGAGCTGAGCGACTGTCTATTGCTCTGTATTGTTGCATTGTGTATGGTACCCAGAGCTGCTTGAGCAATTCCCTCAGAGAGGTGCAGAATTTTCTGTCTGATGGTGCAGCATGGCTGAGAATTAAAAATTCTAGGCTTAAACCCAGCGGTGTTAACGAGGGGGATCTTTCAAAATCATAATACACAGGACCAATAATTGATGGCAAGAAAGAACCTCTAATTTATTTGTGCAAATTCACAAGCTGCTCTTATTTTGCAGCCTCTGTTCAGCTGTGGAGGTCACGTCTGGGCCGGGTGATGTACTCCATGGCAAACTGTCTGCTAATGATGAAGGTACGTGGGTGGCAGCAACTGCAGAGGTACCGTATTTTCCAGAATAGAATGTCAGAGAAAGTGAAAGAGAATTTCTGGTGCATAGATAAGGGAAGACCACCTGACTGTAAATGAAGGTTTTGCTTAGTGAAGAATTAATTAGACTTAATAATGTCTTATTTAATAGATAACTATTTGCAGTAATGTTCTCTGGGAACATATCTGCACTTATTTCTTCTCAAATCATCCTAGAGAACATGCAATAACAATACAGAATTTGCATTTTTAAATTGAATTTTTTTAAACACTTAACTAAATGCTGTAATTAAAAGCAATTATGTGCTCCGTCTTTTTCAAACTGTGCACTAGGAATGTTGCTCTGTTTGTGAGGATTAATAATACTGTAGCCTTTGTATATGATGAAGATCCAGAATGTCTAAATACATCCTCCCTTGTCAGCCTATCTCTACTGTAAGATAGCTTCTTTCAAGTTTAAATCCTCACTATTGGGTAGGGGTGGAAGAGAAGGGAATAAAAGCAAGCGTAACTAGCTTCCCCTGTTAGTTTCTTTTCCTTTGATTCCTCCTTACATTTTTTAACCAATCCTGCTCCAGTTGGTGCAACATTCTTAGCTTCTCCTTGTATTCAGGAAGCAGAAATAAAACTTCTGCCATTCGCTGTTCATGTCATTGTCAGGAAAACAGGGATATCGCCATTCTTGCAGCAAACTGCTGTTATCCTGAGCTTAACTGTACTTCACAAATCAACTAGCAGCAACAGCCTCTGAGCAGAGCTGTCAGGAGTATAATCTTCACAGACCAAGATTTGTGCTCCTTGCTCCCTGCTCTTCAATTGCCCAAGGTCATGCCAAACCTGACCATCTGATGTTTACTAAGCTACTTCCCAAATGGGAGTCTGTTCTTAATATTACAGTATCTCAAAAAGCATGTATTTTTTACATAAGTTTCGGTTACCCAAATACTGCTTTACATGAAATGGAATCCATAATGATACTGTGAACAGAACATTTCTTTCTTGAACAGAAATAATTGTCCATTAAACCATGAGGTATTTTTAACAATTAGTAAGCATTTGTGTTTTGAAGTAGATACTTCATTTTTTTCCGGAATTTTCTTTTTCAAAAAGCAAGTGGAAAAAAGCATGAATTGCCATGCCAAACAAAGCAGAATATATATGGAAATGTACTTTTTCAAGAAGTTCACTTTACTTTTGCCTGTGAATTGTTTTTAACACTTTGAGTATTTTTCTGTGTACACACAAATCCATGTACATGCAAAGTTCTTACCCTTTTTCTGGTTTGGTCCTGTTAGTGCTATTTTCTTTGGTGAATACCGATTATCGCCTTTTTGGAAATGTACTTCAGAAATACTGCAACTTACATACTTCTTAAGACCAATTATACTTAGGGCCTATCTCACTGCAGTTAAGTTAGAAATTTATGGTTCCATAATAACTTCCACATTACCCACAAACACACGTTAATGCATAATCACTTCCATCTGAAATTTGCATTTCAGTGCATTGGCTATGGAGTAGTTGTGAGTCTCTCCGTTTTCAGAAATATCCCTATATAGAGTAGTAGAGAGTTTTTAAGAAAGATTTTTCAGTCATAGTCGTGTTGCAGTTAAAATCAGAGTAGTATATGAAGTTAATTTTTCTGCTTGTGACAGATCCTCTGTGAGAGAATTATACTGGTTATCTATAAATTTAATGTTTTTAAGACCTAACATGAAGTAACGCTATAATCATCTTTTCCACCTTCTAGAGTATTCAGTATGGAACTATTTCTTCAAATAATTTTTAAACACACTTTTGTTAATTTTCCCATGAACAATTATATTAATGGAACAGTTCTACCATTTTTTTTTGCTGTTGTGTAATACACTTTAAAAATGGCATTTGTTTTTATACAAGTATTTCTAGTGTACATAATTTTTTAAAAAAGCTGATTTAATTCTCCAAGTCAGTGCCATCTATTGCCATCTAGTGAACATTTGCAATATTGCAATATGGTCATATTAGATCCCCAAGTACTGTTAGGTGAATGAAATAGCTTGTGCTATTAGTAGATTAATAATAATCATTTATTAAATTAAAACTATATGACCAGTATGAAAAAAGAGAAACTGCTTATCTTTCACTAACCTCTTTCTTTGGCCAAAAAACTTTGGTAGTATTTAATAGGGGGCAATCTTGTCAGGATTGACTCTTGAAAATAAAAAAAAGACTTTGATTACTGTTGGGCCTATAACTATTTAAATCTACTTCAGTTATCCTCAGCTCTAATTAGGTTCATTTCATGTCATATCTCTTCTGCATTATAAATCTGACTCAAAGAATTCTGTTTATGTTGCACAATGATTTTTGTCTTTTTAAATATAGCCTCATTAGTTTCATAGCTAAACATCTCATTAAACTGCGATGGAGGGGTATATTTTTTTGGAGGTGAGTGAGATGCAAAGAAGTGATTCGCCCAGACTTGTGCAGGAAACCTGTAGTGGCACATGAAATTAGTCACAAGTCTCCTTTACCCTGGGACCATCTTTTGTAGGTACTGAATTCTGCCTGCTGTGTCCCTTTATCTGTGTGACCAGTGATACAGTTCGGTGGCAGTTTAAGGCAGCCTTACTCAATGTTTTTTTCCTGTTCATCCCCCTTTCTTTGTACAACCTTTCTTAAATGTATTTTCTAGCTTCCTTTCATGTACCACTATTGGAATTAACCAACTGACAAAGAAGTGGTGGATCTCAGTCATATCAACTGAATTGTCTTTTCCCATTTTGTGTGAACAAGGGTCAACTTAAGGAAGTGGAAATACAGCAGGAAGGGAAGGGGAGACCATGTAGCATGGGTCACTGTAGACTTCCATTTACAAGAACCATCGACTTAAGTAACTATGAAAGTGTACCCTGAATATAGCAGCATAAGGGAATATTCATTTAAAATGCAACTGATGATGCATATTGCTTCATTTCAACAATCTAATTGCAAAACGTCTGTCATTTTACTAAATCACCATGGAAGTGTCTTGAAAACTTTTAAAGTTCTTTTCATCTGAGCTAAAATCGCTTTTGACATTATCTTACCAGGCTTTTACCTCTCTGAGGAATAAACACTTAAGTACTTTCCATATATATTATAAATGTACTCTAATTAAAGGCACATTTTGCACTTTTTAGATTTTTTTCAATGTTGTCTTAGCTTTTGTAGAAGTTGCCCTTCATAAAAACAAAAGCATTAGAATTGATTTTAATTTGAGTCTAATACAATTAAAACTTTACAAAGAAGGAGGTAACAGCTTGTACTAGTGACACAGGGGACTGATGCCGAAGGACTTTGGTTCCTCTATGATTTAAAGGAGAAAGACTGCATGAATAATTGCGTCTTTTACCTAACTGTGCTGCAGTACTGCTCTTTGGATTCATAACGCTGTCAATCTCTGCTTTCATAACCCTTCCACAAGAGCACTAGATAGAGAGGAAGGATAAGTTATCCCTGTCCTCTCTTTGCAAAATATAGTATTTCTGAACTATACACTTTGTATAACTAAAGCTGATTTTTAGTCTGTGGTTTATTGAACCTACTGTCATCATTCTACATATCATGGTCATTTATGCTTATTTCTAATTATCTCATAATTAATATTTTAAGTACTTAAGGTGGTGGTGAAGGAAACATGAAAATGTACAATGCGGTGATGATGAAGGGGAATACAGTTGTACTGCAGTGCATCAAAGGAAAAACAAACCAAACTGGCCTTTTTTGTGCAAGTATATCCAATAGCTTACTAGAACTATTTTGGATGAGTATGTTTAATGTTCGCTCCAAACGAAATACTGAATTATAAAACAATAGACCAGCTCTCGTTCATATCCTGAATTGTGTAACTTCAGTCCTCCTTTGGGAATTTTTTTATGAAGGTATGGAAAATCTGAAGGGTTGCAATCTTTAGAAATTGAAGACCATGACAATACATCAGCCCCATCTTTAAGTCTTAAGATCACAAGTTGTAGTTGTTGGGGTTTTTTACCAGTAGTACCTCATATGTTTTACTTTTCACAACCACAACTTGTATCAACCAAGATTTTGCTCCTCTGGGAGGGTATATTTATCATTCTCACAGACAGTTTTTCTGATACAATGTCACATTATCGAATCTGAGAATGAAAAGTCTTCAGTAAATGAGAGTAAATCTTACCTACTTTACAATATGCTCCTTCAGAAGGAACTGTCAAATAAGATGCTTTTATAACTTACCATGGAATAATATCATTCTGTGTCACATGTAGATTTCTAGAGTATCCTACTACTGCTTCCATGGTAGTTGTGGGGAGAAAAGTAAATGCATATTAATTTCACTGTGGGATTCTGGAGTAACTACAAAATGAGATTGTATTTAGAAGTGAACCTGGATATTGTGATAATGTTTTATGGTTTCATACTGGGGCAATCATTGCCTATGCTTAGGAGTGACTTTGGACATATAATTTAGTCTCTTGCCACCTGGAAGAAATGGGCTGCACTCCTGTGATAAGTACTGCAAGGCATGGGGTGGATAAGCTCAGATGCTATGTGCTCTGCCATCATATGGAAACAGGGTGCCATATCCACGAATACAGTGCATAGACTCTTAATGCTTCACCTCTACTCTCATTTTGGGAGGTGTGAGTGTTTATGTACTCCTGGGTATAATGCATATGGTGATGTATAGTCACTTGATAGGTAATGCAAAAGAGGAGGAAGGTTTGTTTGCCTGACCAGGCCAAATCCATGAAGCCCTCGCAGAGTGGGCCTCCAAGACATTACTTGGCTGCTTGTTCCTACCAAGGCTGTCTACTTACTACTTCCACTAGGGAACCTGTGGTATTATAATTGTGCAAACAGTGCCCCCTCGTGCAGTTTCTTCTGGCCAAGACTCTTTGCAGTCACATCATGCTAGGCTGTAAACTAAGCTGACAGAAGCACTTTTCTATCAGCTTAACTGCAGGATCTCCTGGGAGTTGTTTCTACATCAGTTTGGGTATGTGACTATAGAGCCCCCATCCCTCATGGTTGTACTATGCATCTTTGTTGTGTAGCCTAAGCCTTAGAGTGTGCATGAGACTGAGTACTGAGTCAGGAGCAGCTTTAGACCACAGAATGGAAGACATTGAGCACTTAAGCTAGAATTCGATATAATAAAATTATTTCTCCAGTGAGCACATTCTGTGCTTGAAGGGATAAAATTTACAATCATAGACAACTCTTCAGATTTTTTTTTAAGTGATGGTCTTGCAGGTATTAATAGCTAATGCAAGCGTGGCTGGGATTCCTCTCAGGAGCCAGTTCAGAGGGTCCCTATTCCAAGTTTTTTATGCCTGTCTAACATAGTGAGACTCCACGATCAATGAATTCCTTTAGTGAGAGCTGCTACAGTGAAAATTGAGTTTTTTCAAAGTCATAAATTTATGAAAAATTTTGGTAGCATAAATTTCATCCCATTTGAGTTCTGAATGCTAAATAAATTTGAATGTAAATAAATATATTTTGGGGTGTATGGCCTGTTGTCTTTTCTCTGAACTCTTTCCATGTCCAATAAGCATGAACAGGGCCTGGCATACTAGATTTTTAATAACTCTAAATGTTATTAATTAACTGTTCAGAATTAATCATTATACCCACAATATACAAGTTGTTTGCAAAAGAAAGGTCCTGCAGCATGCCTCCTGGGCTGTTTAACTCAGCCTCTACTATCATAGGATGTGTAACTTCTCACATATACAGGTCAGACTCCAAAGACTTCTCTTGATTTTTTTTTTATTTTTTTTTTTTTTGTGTTTATGAAACAATATGTTTTAAAGGGTGATCTGACCTGGTGCATGGGTCAAGTAGAACCATAGAACAGTTTAGGTTGGAAGTAACCTTTAAAGATCATCTAGTCCACCCCCAATGCAGTAAGCAGGGACATCTTCAACTAGATCAGGTTGCTCAGAGCCACGTCCAGCCTGACCTTGGGTATTTTCAGGGATGGGGCATCTACCACCTCTCTGAGCAACTTGTTCCAGTGCCTCACCACCTTCACAGTAAAGAATTTCCTTGTATCTAAACTAAATCTTCCCTCTTTCAGTTTTAAACCATTATGCCTTGTCCTATCATTACACTCCCTCATAAAGAGTCCCTGGAAGGCCACTATAAGGTCTCACTAGAGCCTTCTCTTCTCCAGGCTGAACAACCCCAAATCTCTCAACCTTTCTTCATAGGAGATGTGCTCCAGCCCTCGTGGCCCTCCTCTGGATCTGCTCCAATAGGTCCGTGTCATTCCTGTGCTGAGGACTCCAGAGCTGGACACAGGATTCAGTCCTTTTAAGTGCAACCTCAGGAAAAGAAATTCATTGCCGCCTCAGACTAAGCAGGAGATGAAGAAAATGTATCTTTACCAGTAGCTGTGATCGCATTAGGACAAATTAAATGAGTATTATAATTTGACCAAGAAACATGGTAGGGTAGAGAGTATCTGAAGATGTTTTGAAGTTTTGAAGCAGTTTCAAAATATTATTCTTTGATGTCTTTTTCTTCCTAACACCTACCACTAATTTGTGTATTAGGTGAAGGGTAGGACTGTCAGGAAGCACCAAATTAGTACAGCACAGTCTTCTGTCTTTGCATATGCCTGGCTTTTATAAGCAAAGGCAGGCTTGCTCTGCCTCTGCTTGGGATTTCTCTAAGAAGCTATAGCTGAGGCTACTGCAACCCTGTGGCGTGTGAATGTACCTACTACTGCATGTCTTCTGGTCAGCATAAACAGCACATGCAAAGCTTCTCATGTGTGCCTGCCAAAGACCATGCATGTAGCCAGGCTCTAGAAGTCACTTACTGCCTAGATCATTGAATTACTGCTGTTTAACCATGAAGCAGCTGGACTGCAGTAACCAGTCACAGGGGAATTTCTTTCTTGTAGAAATGGGACCATGATTTTGTTTAATCTCCTGTCACTGGTCGTTATCTAGAGGGTACGGTTGCACTGCTTCTCAAGCAGGCAGATCTCAGATCTGCCACTTGCAGCATGGTCTTTGTGGATGTGTCTCTGTGTGGGGGTCACCTACAAAGCCTCTTGCAGCTCAGAACCAACCCATCCCACACTTGATTTTAGCCCAGATCAGTTTTCTATTTAGATTACCTGCTCATAGTTTTTTTTTACATGGTAATGTAGAAGGGAACAAGGATTTGGGTAGATGAATAGAGTAGTGCTAGTTTGTCATCTGAAAATGTGCATGAATTGCTTATGCTAACACATTATATTTTTCACAAATTAAAAGCATGTGCACAAGCAGTTCCCAAAGCGTCGGAACATAGTTTGTTGAACCATGTAAATTATACATATATTTGAAACATGACACATTTCTCAAGTGTGTATACCCCAGTCACACAGAAGGCTTTTGACTTTCATTCTAAATCATATCTAAGCTGAAGAGTAAATGTTCAGATTTTGTTTTTCTTGGCATTTAGCTACAAACAGAATATGATCCAGTTGGGGAAAAAATAAAAAAAGACAAAAAAAAAAAAAGGAAGATCTCTCTGTATGTAGTTCTAGTATACATGAGAAGAGACTAACGTAGTCAGCTACTAGTGCCTACACTAATAGGTAGAAATTCTGTCCCACTGACAAGTTGCAAATTTAATTCTGTTTGAATATGTCTTTAAAAAGAAGGTGACAAAGGCTGAAGAATGCTGAACTTAAGTATCTGGTCCTGTGCTTTTTACCCCTTAGGACTATGTGCTTGCTGTAGATGCTTATCACACCGTCCTCAAATGTTACCCACAGCAAGAGCCTCAGCTGTTGAGTGGAATTGGAAGGATTTTCCTTCAGGTACGCATTTTCTTCTAAATATACTAGGTAATACTGCTGTTAACAGTTATGTAGTGAATAACTGTTGCATTTAAAACTAACTTTTTATAGCGTGTGTATCAAACTGTAGAGGCAGTGGTCAAACCAAAAAAAACTTCTACCACGTGATTATGAGATGAAGTTAGGAAAGGTAAAGTACTTATAATATTAAAAGTACATGCATGCACATTAGTGAATAAAGATCATGCTGTAGAAAATTATGCTTATAATTTAATCAAAGCAACATTCTGCTTTCTCTGAAAGTAATGGTAAAGCTCCCGTTGACTTCAGTGAGCCAGAATTTCACAAAAAATCTCATTTATACTGCCTCAAACTGCATACAGCTTTCAGTCGCACCGATTAACTGCCATCTTCATCTCGAAAAAATTTGAGTTTCTTTTTTCCAGGTTATATCCTTGAAAAGACAGGGAAGGGCACGTTAAAAGAAAAAAACAGGACCACACAAGTATAATAAATTTCCATGTAGCTATGTACTTACCATAATAAGTAAAAAACCCAGAAAGTTCAAAGAAGAAGAAATGTGTTGCAGGGCTGGGCACCATCATATTGGTAAGACCTTGGTGTGGTGTGTGTGCACTGTTGATGAGGTACTGTGTGAAAAAAATAAACATCTTGCAGGTAAAATGGGAAAGCAATTTTCTCATATTCAAATGACACATCTTCTCAAAAACAGGTAGCAATTCCCAGATAACCTCATACTGTACTCTTAACTTTGAACATTATCCAAGAGAGGCACAAGGGAGACGGATTTTAGCTGCTTACCAGTCAGAGATAGTGTTTGACAACAGACATAACACATATGAAACAAAGCAATAATGTAGAATCAAGAGTAAGTTCAGGAGTTAAATAGTAAAAGAAAGTAACCTTTTTCAACATATAAAACCTTACATTGTGTGTGATTTTTTTTTTTTCTTAATTAAATTGAGCTTACTGGTTTAAGATACCCTGTCGTCTTTATCTTCACATGTAGTGGGGCATAAAGAGGCCTAGATCTGATGTACATCCTTCAGCTGTTGCCTCAACATAGGAAAGGAGGATGAGAGAAATGGAGAATGAAGGAAAAGATGGAGGCTATGGCAGAGAAATTTTCAGAGCACTGCAATTCTGTCAGCAATCACCTCACCTGTAAAACAGAAATTCACATGAAATGGGGAAATGAAGTGAATACGTTTTAGTCTCTAAGATATTATTGTGTGTTGCTAACACACAAGCTCTGCTTGCTGCCTGACCTATCCAAAATTGCTATTTAAATAACTACATTAAAGAATTTAGAAAGTGGAAAGATACCTGACCTTACCCTCTGTGATAGATTGTGCTAAACAGAGTTGAATGCAATAAATAAATCCTAAGATTACTTAAGAAAAATAATATTGGTTTACAGACAAACAACAAACTTAAGCTCATAGTATATTGGAGGCTTCTTGTTAGAGGATATGATTATTTGAGGTTAACAGAGGAATTTTATTTTTTATCCAAAGTGCTTATTATCCTTAGATACTGAATTAATGTTTTCTGAACTAAGTTAAATAAAATTAAGTGATGAAGACCACTTTAAATATTTAACATTTTAATGACTAATTACACCTATTTCTTTTAAATGTTCTGCCAAAAAAACCCAAACTGTTTCCCCTCCATGGTAAAAAATGAGAATTAAACACTTGACATGTTTACTGAGAAGACACAAAATGCTGCGAAGAAGTAAGAACTCTTCATGAACACAAATAAGGTGTGATTAATCTCAAAGTATATTAGATTTGGACTCATCAAGCTCCCAGTGGAGCAAGCTGGTAGTTTGCTTTAGAAATGGATTATTCTCATGGTGAGGGGTTTCCTTCTAATTTCCAGGCTAAAAATATTCAAGGACGGATTCATTTACACTTGTGCCAAAAACTATCCTTTAGTTAAAAGTAACTATTTTCTTGATGGTTTACACCTTTATTTATGGAAATAAATTGTATCTTTTGTCATTATAACTAAATGTGTAAGTTTTTAGAATTAATAATGTTTGTTTTGTTTGAGCCCAGATATGCAAGAGAAATTAATCTGTTTAGTTAGCTAGAGTATCAATGCTCTGGTAGATGGACAATGGCATCTTTGAGTGCAATTGGATCATCCCCTAAATGTAAAGAAGAATAGTTTCTTCAGGTTGTCAAGGGAGGGGTCTTGTGGTTAGAGGTAAAACAGTACCAGTCATACAACTGATGTTAGTAGGGCTTCGGATACTGTCATTATGATAGTCCCATAAGCAAGTTGGGAAGAAATCTAGATGAAACCTTAAAATGGATGTTTGCTATGTCTGAAAAGTGTTCTGGGGAAGTCATCCACTGGAAGACTAGAAGGATTTGCTGGATGATCTTTTCCACAAGGATCCCTTTAGGGTTTGTGGTGTTCTTATCTTTCAATTAGGTGTTTGTATGATGAAAATAGAAATGTGCTTGTAAAATGCATGAAGCTGGGAATGGTACCGACACTATGAAGGGCAGGATCAGAATGCAAAATAATCTTGACAAGCTGAGAAACTGAAATGTTAAATTGTCTGTGATTCAAACAGCAAAGGCAAAATACTACCAAAGACTGGGAGTAATAGACAAATACAAAATGGGAAACAACTAATGAGATACTGTTCTGTAAAAAAGAATTAGGCTATGGTTAATCAAAGTACACATGGGTAAACAAATAGGACTTCCAAAATACTGTGGCATAAAAGCAAACTTAATATATGAAACATAAAGTAATTCTTCCATTCTCACTGCTGGCAAGAAATTAGTTGGAGATCAGTGGGCACTCAGGGAGGGTGTGAAGTACAGGAAAGAGTTCAGAGAAAAACAGCAAGAATGATCAGAGAATCCAGAAAGCAGTATCTATGAGAAAGGGGTGGACACTGATTTGCTTGAAAATTGATTCTCATTCTAGAAGAAGAAACATAGGAGAAAGTGCAATAAAAATTTTCAAATATGTAAAAGGCTGTTAAAAGAGAGGAGCTGTACTGTCCTCCCTGACCACTATGGATAAGACAAAATGTTGGAGCAAAAAGTGCAGCAAGATAGACTTAGAGTGTGCTTTGTAATACTACGGGTGTGTAAGAATTCTGGAATAAGTTTTGTGTGTAATATTCACCATCTGAGAGCTTCAAGGAGACTGCAATACATACGTTGAAAACGGTTTTGGTAATGTTGGTCCTGTTCTTGAATAAACAAGTGATCTCTTGAGGGCCCCCTGCATCTCCCCACCTGAGGGCTGCCTGGCTTCCATGGCTTTACACTCCTGAACTAGTTTAGTTTTACTCCTTTTGACAGATTTATTTTACCAAGTATTAAGTTTTCTTTTCCTTTCATCTCTCCAGCCCAAAATTATTGTGAAACCTTACCAAAAGTATGAGTGTATTCTTCTATAAAACGTACATTGCTAACTTACTTACCAAAGAGTTCTCTTCAAAGATTTTTTTTTTTCATCCCAAATAGCAATGTATGTGACATACCCTTCGGTGAAATTCCCCTTCCTTTCTAGGAATCCCTATCACCCTCTCCCATTAAATCTGCTCCTCGTTATGTCAGCTTTCAAATCCCTCAATTGTTCAGCCTGCACAATCCACTCACCAGTATTTTTCAATCTGCAAATGGACTGAGTCCCCAGTAGCCTTAGTGACCTTTTGCATTGGGGCTGTTTTCTGACATCTTTCAGTCTCATGCACTGAAGTCATCCTGTGGTCCTTGGCTGTGACCCCCAGGCTGGGGGCTGACCAAGTATGGGTCCTACACTACCTTCCAGGCTACTCTTATTCCAGTTATGCCTATTGACAGTTTCTGCCTCTGGACAATGTCTCTTCACTTCCTGCAGCGGAACACCCAGTCTCACCGGAAGTAATTCTGACGTTTTCTCCTTTTCAGCAAATTTTATAAACTCTGCAGGTCAGTTACAACAAAAAAGACAAATGAGGAGGTGGGACACCTCTGCCATACAGTCCACGAATGTTTCACAATCCACAGCTAAGAAACACGCCTTAGATAAAACTGCACATGCTTCTGGGCTTCTTTTCATGACCTTAGTGTGGTTGTTCAAATATCTTGTTTGGTAACAGGTATTACCCAGTCAGCTTGGTGCCAGACAATTAATGGACTTTGATATGTTTTCATGTTCTTATCCTTTGTAACAGATATAATCAGACTGGATCTCTTTTCTTCTTATTGTCGTAACTTTCTTATGATTTTACTGTCTAGATTGGAGACATAAAAACTGCAGAAAAATATTTTCAAGACGTTGAGAAAGCGACTCACAAATTGGATGGACTACAGAGCCAAATTATGGTTTTAATGAACAGGTAGATAATTTAATAGCTAAATGAAACTTTAAAATACAGATTTGCAAAGTATGCATTGTGAGCATTAAACTACCCTTGAGACAATCCCATTCTATTTCTCTCTTTTATGTAACTACATCTGTCATAAGTGAGACTGAATGGCATATAGACCCAGGAGATCTGTATTACTTGGTATAGTCATATTATCCTGGATTGAAATTGTGATCCTTCCATTGATTTTACAAAGCTTTTCCTCATTCTTCCAGGCATTGCATATTTTTACTCTGCTTTTTCAATATACATTTGCATAAATAATTCTTAGGAGAGGAGATGCTATTTTGGGCCCTTATCCTATAGTCAGATCTGCTAAAAGGTACCACCTGGTAGTTTCAAAGAATGCCGAAATACATTGTAGTAAACCAAGCTGCATGATGGGGGACTCAGTTTGTAATGGTTAGCATATTGGCTTAATATATTTAGAAAATACTATTCAAAAGTGCACTGAAAATTATATAGCATGGCTAATTTCATAAAGAGAAATAATTCCAGGAATAAAGTATCTGCATTTAAATTAATAAAATCACAGTGGACTGTTGCTTTGGTCGGCAGAATATATAATAGCCCAGTGATCCAAGTTGTCATTCCATTTGTCTGTAAATCAGTTTCTTCTTGCTGGTTGTAATTACACCGTGAAGAGCAAATGTCAGAAACTCTCACATCTATAACAGGAAAAATAAAAAATGGTGTCCATTCTTTTTAAAATATATTACTACCTTGGGTTTTTGAGTAGAACTCATTCATATGTCACTTACTTTCTAGAGCATTTCTCCACCTTGGTCAGAATAATTTTGCAGAAGCTCATCGATTTTTCACAGAAATTTTAAGGATCGACTCATCAAATGCTGTGGTAAATCTCCAAATTGCTACATTTATAATGAACACCTAAATTATTCTCATAATGCGTCATGTGTGGATTTAGTTAGTACCCAGAGTATGCTCAGAGCTATATGGAAAAATTGGATGTGGCATGTGTGCCAAAGGGGTTTTAGTATACATAAGGATAAGATATAAAATGTGATGGGAAATGAAGAACCGGTCTGTATGAAGGGCATGAATACTTAGGCATGCATGTAGAAATTCCAAAACATGATGTTTTACAGGATCTTCGCAAAAGCACTTTTTTTTTGCATGCACTGTTTTTAGCGTAGACATGTGTGTCAGAAAAAGAAACAGCAGCTGCCAATGTATATAAGATTAACTTGATTTCACACAACATTGAAGGGATATTGTAATTTTAAACATGACATTTTTAACACGTTGTATATCAGAGCCTTGGATTCCCATCACAAGAAGAGATCAAAGAAGAGCTATTTACTTTTGTTTTTTCTACATTTGACAGCTTTCAGGGCATGGTCATAAAAGAGTGTTCCCGAGAACTGAGACAGCTTACCCCCAGTAGCCTGATCCAAGGCCATTTAAAGACGGAGGGGAAGGAGTTTAAGAAGCATATGAATTGCATCATTTTGCAGGGTGTAAAATAGTATGTATTATAAATCACATGAGATCAGTAAGGTTTCCTGAAGGGAGAGAAAAATAATTTTTTTTAAAAGGCTGTGTTGTTCCTTATCCGCAGCTTTCAGAAAGCATGAAAGTTTCTGCTGCTAAACATGTTATATGACTTTGTACTGTTGGAATCTTCCGGTAACTCATAAAACCTGTTTTGTGTAGAGAAGAAAATGGAACCTGACTTGATCATTTATGATGTATTTAGACTGCCCTATCTGCTGAATTTACTTGAAGTCAGTTGTAGATGCCTTTGTGATAAGGTAATTTCTTCCTGTTGCTTATGTGGATCTATATGTAAGCAGAAAGAAAAACACTTCTGAAGATATAGTGAAGTCATTAAAAAAAAACTATGAAAATGACAGCATGCAGAAGCTTATGTAGTTTCTGGAATCTATTGCAATTGACTTTCAAAATTAACTGACTAATGTCCTATACTATATATATTTCATTTTAGACTCAGTCTCTTAGAGTTTCAGCTCTTAGGAGTCAGCAGGTCCTACTGGCACAGGATAAATCTTGAGAATAACAAGAAGAAAAGGATTGATAATGTATTTTAGTTACTTGCACACACAAAATAGGAATTCTTAGCACATAGTAAATCTGTTGTAACTCCAGATACTAGACATCTTTTCCTTCTCTCTCATCACTAGTAAATACATACATACATATATATACACACATTTATTTATTTACAATATATTTTTCTCTAGGCTAATAACAATGCGGCTGTTTGTCTTCTTTATCTGGGAAAACTGAAGGATTCCCTCCGGCAATTGGAAGGAATGGTTCAGCAGGACCCTAAACACTACCTACACGAGAGCGTTCTCTTCAACTTGACAACTATGTATGAACTGGAATCATCTCGCAGTATGCAGAAGAAGCAGGCACTTTTAGAGGCTGTAGCTATCAAAGAGGGCGATAGCTTTAATACTCAGTGTCTCAAGTTAGGATAGATAATTTCAAACTAATTTTTTCCAGCAAGGCTGATTTTTTAAATTGTATATACTCTTGCTAATGTGTAAATGTGAAATAAAATCTATTCATTTATGACTATTCAGTGGCATTACTACAGAATCTGTTGTCTCTAACAGTCCTATCATTCTGAAGACTTTGTGCTGACCTAGAGCCAGCTTCACCCCTACAAGTCTATTACTGTTTAGTTATTCTTCATTACAGTGTACTAGATATATATATAGTCAACTACTCAGATTCTTTTGATAAGAAATACTGAGTTTGACCCTATATTGTCTTGAAGATTGCTACAGTTTTTCAGTAATTAGTGAGCAAATCACATGAGCTGATTTCATCAGTTAAGAGTTATTGACAGAGTATCAGTATGTGTATTATAGAAATGAAATTCTGAATGCGCTTCTCTTCATTTGCTTCTACTGTGTGTGTCCCATTTTGCCCCCATTCAGCTACAGAGTATTACACCTTTGTATGTCCAGTGCTCTCGCTCAGTAACCACAATACAGAATCACAGCGTGGTTGATGTTGGAAGGGACCGCTGGAGGTCATCTGGTCCAACCACCCAGTCAAGTGGGGCCACCTAAAGCAGGTTGTCCAGATGGCATGTGAGGGAGTCATACCGTCCCCCCCAGCATGAATGTCCCACAGTAAGAGGGACCGTATCATCTGAATTATACTAAATGGTCTCTCTATAATTTCTTGGCTTTGTGATACCATTAATCTTTCAGGTTAAAGCATTTGGATTCTGGAAAGGTGTGGATGGGATTTCTCTATTCCCAAACTATTGCTTGCTTCTATACTTTTTTCCTCCCTCCCACTGTCTGGCCAACATCTCTACTTGGATGTCACCAGCAGATGCCACAAGGTTATTCTAGGAACAGCCTCACTTGTGCATGTGTATTTCAGCTCTTAGTATACTACAACTATCTTCCTCATGCCTGCCCTGGAGCCTGTGGATTCCTCCCAGTGTAGACAGGCAAAGCTGCTCCACTCTGGCATTCTGCTGGGTAGAGAAAGGAGCACTGCCAGTTAGGTGGAGTGCAAGCACAACCCATTTCAGCTCAGTTCTTGTTACCATGTGAAAACACAGTGCAGAAAGTATTTCCTAGGGAAAAGGATGGAGAGACTTGAGGCAGAGGTATCTCAGGGTTAGGCCACACAGAGTGGAAACAAATGGGGAGATGCAGAGCAGCACACCAGGCAGTTACCATTGATGCGACCGGATCGGCATACAGTGATGTTGGCATCCCTTGGAACACAGATTTTTGGAATCACAGTACCACTGTGGTATCAGTGTATTTCACATCTCTGCCCACATTTCTTCCTTCATCTGTATTGTAAAGATTGAATCCAGATACTCCCATTCCTTGTACCTTAATACAATATATAGATCTGTTTATTGGTTTTTATATTGTTTTGAGATTTAATGTTTGGCATATGGAGTAGCTTCTTGTCATAAATCACTGCCGTGGGACAATTCCAGTGTATTTGTTACTTTTTTTACACCACATCATCTGTTAATTTTCACTGTCTTTAAATACCCTCACCTGTATTTTTAAGTAACTAGTAACTCATTTTTATGCTTGTCCAACTGGATATAGTGACACCCCTCCCCAACAGGGGCCAAACAGTTGTCCTCAAAAATCAGGTGGTTTGAAAACTACTGCAAGCTGGACATGCAAAAAAAGAGAATGCCTAAAAATCACGTCACCTCAAAAGACATAAGCCTACAACTTTTCTCATATAGAGAGAGAATTTGTTCCATTTTTAATAGGTTATGTGTTTCACAGGTCATACTTGTGCACTGAAACAGTGGCTAGTTACGTACCAATGAACTGAAAAAATTTAAATCGGTTGGTATTTTTGGTTCTGCCTTGGCCTCTAGGTTCCACAGCTGGATCTGAATTAAACTTGGGCAGCACCTGGGTAGACTTGGAATTTTTTCCAGCACAGGTCACTTTTCTTGTGCATGGGGTTTCCTAGGAGATAGAAAGAAATCCTGGTGTGTAACCACCATTGCTCTTGAAGACTTTTGAGAGCACTGAAGAATTTACCAGAGCATGTAGTGACAGGACAGGGGCAATGGTTTTAAAATTAAAGAGAATAGATTTTGGTTGGACATAAGGAAGAAATTCTCTACAGTGAGGGTGGTGAGGCACTGGCACAGGTTGCCCAGAGCAGCTGTGGCTGCCCCCTCCCTGGCAGTGTTCCAGGCCAGGTTGGACGGGGCTTTGAGCAACCTGGGCTAGGGGAAGGTGTCCCTGCCCGTGGCAGGGGGTTGGAAGTAGATGATCTTCAAGGTCCCTTCCAACCTAAACCATTCCATGATTCTGTGATTCCAGTCTAAAAAAAAATATAATGATATGTAAATTAATATCCTATAACAGAGATTCTTATGCATTTAGCTGAAGGTCAGGTGTCACGTTATATTGTTATACTATCATCTATGCTTTCAGGAAGCTTGACTTATCTTTTGCAATTTTAAGTGCAAGTACCATGATCCAATATCATCCAGCGTGCTGAAGCCACTTGCCTCTTTACAATCGAGGAGTAACATGCTTCCTTTTTTGATTCAGTAGTGCCTTGTACTCACTGCATGTGTGACAGCCTGTGTTCTGATTGGCAGAGAATAAAAATTTATGATGCCAGTTGAGTCAACCATTAAAAAAGAAACATGCTGAAAACATTATCCCCCGGTCTCCAAGTTTCTCTACATTCTAATTCATTACTACATAGGTCTCACTTCAGTATGTTTGCTGTGTTCTTATTAGTAGAAGCTTTTACTCAGATAAAAACACCAGTAGAGGAGACTTGGACTGGGTGACCCCTAAGCTCAGTGAGCCATTAAACAAGTGACATCCTGGTAGACTTGCAGAATAATTAAAATTTAAATGCAACTGCATATTATCACTGCTGGATGTATGGAAATTGTTAACTGTTTATAAAATGCAAGAAAGAATGTCAATTGCACTTTATAGTTTGGATTTAATATATATACAAGTTAAGTGAATTTCCTATATTCAGCTAGTTACACATCTGAATGCTGTACATGGTGTTAAAGCATTAAAGCTAAGGACAAAATTTGTCCTCAAAACATTAATTACACCAGGCAATCCTGTTAAATTCAATGAATTCAGTTGAATTTAATGAGGGTTCCTGGTGTAAAAGAGGGCAGAGCTCAGTTCTAAAACACAGCATGCATGTGTCATCTGGCTAAGTGAGAAAAGCTGTGGAAAGTATAGCCTGAATGAGCTGCTTGTTGTTTTCACGTCTTAAAGCTTAATGTGCCTTAACAGAACTTTTGCATTTAAATTTCCTCTTTTATTAAAAGAAGAGCAAAGAAGCTGTACTTGAGACATTCAGATAATTACATTATGCACAGAGACCCTCCTGGTCCCCAAAAGGACTTAAGCATCTATCTGCCATTTTGGTACCTAACTACAGTTCAGGTGATAATGGCAGGCCCTAACCAGCGGGTCATTTACATTTTCCTGGTGCCTTGGTTTTTGGACTGGACCTGTTAAGTGTTCCCTGGAAGGCATGTGCAGACATGCCTGAGACTCCACAATGGACTTCAGCCAGTATATGGGAAAGGATTATCTTTTTTCCACCTACCTCATCCTTCATGTCCACAAGAGCACTCATGCAGTCCTGCTCAAGCTGGATGAGCTCACTGACATGGTGGAGAAACTCACCAAGCCAGCAAATGCCCCCTTCAGATTCATCTTCATCCTGGGAACTTCCACCCCGCCTGGGTAGGCTGCCAGCAGCCTAGGGAGTGGTAGACATATAATCCTTCTCTGAAGCCTCTGCTGAAGGTATCTTGCAGATCAAACTTGTATAGTCTGTGTGCATAGCCAAGTCATGTCTGTCCAGTTTGTGATGCACTTAATCAACCACATGCACTGTACCCATCCAACAGAAGATTGCAGGATGTATGGTACCCCCATCTCCAGTCATATTTAGCTGTTAGTGAGAAAAATACATTCTGCTTCAAATTGCAGTCAAGAAATGTGTGAAAACAGGACTGAAGCATCAAATATAAATTTATTCCAAATAGGTAGAACCACAGCAGCCAGAGTCAACCTCTCTGAGGTTGATGAGGTATCAACCAACATTGCTGCTGTCCTGAGCCATGGCCAGGGAAACTGAGGATGTTGGAACAGGGTGGATTTTATCCATCAGCTCATAGCTGTAATACAAGATCAAAGGAAGATGCTATACACCCCTTCCACTGTGCTTTCTACCCACTTAAAACCTCAGGGAAAAAATGTATTTTGCCAGTGAGGTGCTTTACATTGTGGGAACCTGCACTGAGTTTTTAGCATTTGAACAGCAGCTCAGTAGCACTGAATGCAAACAAGCTCCAGCACTAAATCTGAAGCAACAATAGCGGAAAGCTGCTTTCCTTCTTTGTTCTCCTAGTCAGTTTGGGAATTACAAATTTAGAGATTCTCACCTTCAGGGAGTGTGTGAGATGGTCACAATCCTGGTGTCAGGGAGAAACAGAAAGGTGCGGGTGGGGAGAAGGACCCAAGTGCTGCCTTACCCAAGCTGTTCTGGATTAACACCTGATCCAGTCCTAGATTTGGGCAGTCATTTGCAGATGTTTATTATGAATAAGTCATTAAAACGAATCCATCTGAAAGCCAGCAACAATGGCTTGTAATTTGCCCACAAAGGGGGAAAAAATAGGATGTTACTCAGTTGAGGTAGGGAAGGAAGGAGAAGGTTCCTCTCGGACTTTGAAAAATTGTCAGAACTGTCAGTGGTAAACAGAAAATACTGAAGGAAAAAAACTGCAGAATAGAATTACTAGAGCTGTTTATTAAAAAAAAAAAAATTCCACTATATGCAGCACAATATGTGAGCAAGTACTTCAGATGCTGGCACACATTCCAGTGGCAGGCAGCAGGACTGAGCCCGAGCCCAGCCTGGGGCTGCAGTAGCAGCCTGTGCATAACATGGGCACCACTTTGTATATCTCCTTGCTACAGCATCACCAAGAACAGTTTCCCTTTTTCCCACCAACAGCAGATCAGCTTAAGTTGCCTGAATCATTTGGAAAAAAAAAATAACCCTGAGGGTAGACCAAAATGAAATTCTCCAGGCTCAAATGCCTGTGATTGCAGGGGAAAGCAGAGCCCAGAGCTCGGCTTGGCTCCTCGGGGCCGTGTCTGTGACCAAAGGCAATCCTGGCGCACCACAGAGGCACAGAGCATACCCAGCCCAATTTTCTACCAGCCGAGGAGGCTCACTGACAGGCATAACAGTTATTAATCGGTATCCTAGGAAGTAGCATAGAAGGCAATGAAATGGAAGGGCACTTTTCAAAATTGGCGCAGGTATCCCAGAGAGAACTGCAGTGGGGGAAGCCAGCATTGAAAGAGATCCACTGCCCTTTACCTGCTGAATCTTTCCTCAGTCATTTTAGTTTCCAAAATTTTGCTTATTTGTCTTATCTGGGTATTTATACAGTTAAAAAATGAGAGCTAGTGACTCAGTCACATAAAAATAGGTTTTTTCAAATTGCAGGTATAGCAGAGTAGCTTTTTGCAAACACAGAATGTTTTGGAAATCAAGCTGTAAAATCACAATGAGTGCAGCAAATCAGATCAAATCTGGATCTTTGAGTCAGGAATATTTAAATTGTAACACTAATTCATCCCCTAGTGAGTTGATATGTTTACTGGCTTCAGGAAAAAATAGAAGACAACTGGCAGTGACCCTGTTTCGAGGAGAGGAGAAGGAATCTGAGAATTTCTATCATTTTCATGGGGAAGACTCCCAAACGGATGGTGTAATTTTTGAGCATAGCACAGGTCAGGTCCACAGCTTCTGCCTCACCAAATATCTAAATCCATTATTTAGCCACTAGGGATATTCTTCAAAGCAGTGTTCAGCTGCCACCTCAGTCTTTATGTGCACTGGCGTCTGCCAGCTGATATTAAATGATTGCCTTTGTCAGGAAGGCATCTCTTCTCCTAAGTTCCTAGTTCAAGCTAAATCCTGGAGTCAGAAACCAGGCAGGAAAGTGCCTCTTCTCCCACTAGGACCTGATGCTCTGAATACACAAAGATTTTATACTTGTCAAGCTCAGCAACCAGGCCAGGCAGCTGCCAGCTCCTGCAGCCGGCGGGAAGCAGCACAGCCCCTGCTCTCAGCAGCCCAGGGTGAGACACCCCTCACCGTCAGCACTTCCCTTCACCCATCTGTAGGCACCCCGAAGTGCCTGGTGTGGATGTCACTAGTTAACTACTAAATGGCGGTGAAACCTCTTTGCATTAAGACACCCAGCCAAAGACACCTGCCCCAGGAGACATAACAAGGGAGGGCAGCATCACAGATTTTGCAGCCATATGGTTGCCCACCTAATTTATTCAAAAGCCCACTCAGCATCAACAGTTTGCTCTGAGTCCACTTGCAGAAAACAAGACCACTGCTCTCTTAAACTGGTGATGAGAAACTGAGGCATATGCCACTTTGGAAAAGTTTAGATTCAAGTGGAAAATAATACATAGGTACCAAAAAAGCTATCTTCAAACCCCTCAATTCAGTACCACTTCTCCCACCTTTTTTTTAAAAACCTCTAATTCTGGAGGAGTTGAAATATTCCCCCTGCCTGAGTTAATGCTGCCAATTTGATGTTGCTGGAACCACTTACATAAATTTTCATACTACATCAATGCACTGAGATTTTCCACTAACTGCAGTAAAACAGACGCATATTTTTGGACCAAAAATCGATTTCACTTTGCACTTCTGCATATGTGGTATGTGGAAAAAAAAAAAAAAAAAGAAGAAAAAAAAAACAAACACAAAAAATTGCCATGAAAATAAACTGCGTGTTTCATCTGAAGGAACGGTATGTTCTTCCTCCCTCCTCGCCACTCTCTGGAGCGTTTTCTATTAATATTAACATTTTTCTGCCCAGCTGTTTCCTCCCAGTGTAATCTCCCATGTAATCTCTTCACAGGTGTGGAATCTTTATACCAGCCCCAAATTGCTTTTTTCCTGGCTGACAAAAAACATTTTCAGAGAGCAAAGCTTTCACCCCTTCAAAGACACCTATAGCACTAAAGGGCATGGACTCAAAAGCATTGACAGTAAGACCCCCACAGCCTCTGCAACCTCTCAGCAGCAGAATGCATTGTGCTATGAAAATGATGAACGATCTTCAGCGGGGTGATCATGTGTTATTCTTGACAGCCAGGAGATGGGAGCTGTACCAGGTGTATATATTCCTCCAGAGAAGCAACAAAACAAGGTGGTTCAGTCCTGCTTCTCAGGTCACATCCTACATCAGCAAGCTCTTGAAAGTAATTGCTGCGGGCAACCGCTGTACTGTCCATCCCTCATCACTGCCTCCAAACCATAAATCTCTCCAGAGGAGAGTGCATTACCTGCTCTCTCTTCCCAGTTGCTCCCCCAGTCTGTTATGGGATGGCTGTGCTATAAATGCGGGGTCCTGAGAGCCCATGCTGCTGACTCCACATCTCCTTTTGCAGAGAGAGAGATCAAAATTGAAAGGCCCAGAGGAGAAATGAACAGTGTAATGCTGACTTCTGTTAAAAAAAAAAAATAAATAAAACAAAAGCAGGGGGAGGATGAATTAGATTGGATACCGGGGACTGATGCCAGCACCAGGAGAAAGCAGTCATTTTACTTTACATTCGGAAACACAATTTTCTGTGGCACGTAAGTCAAAGGAATAAAACTTGCCACCGGCAGTAACTGTCATTTATTCCTGTAGCTGTACCTTGAAAAATCCCCAAAGTTTATTCTGGGATCAGGATGCCCCAGTGTGCTGTACAAGAGGACACTCAAGTTCTCCTTGCAGGCAAGTGGCACACAAATCCCTGAACTGATGAGGCACGTGACACACGGTACAGCGTCCCTGCAAGCCTACTCAGTGTGTGTCTGACTAGAGTTAAACTTCCTACTTGCTACAACACACATTTTTCAGCCAGGCTTATGAACCAACGTGCAAAAGCCAGCACAGGCTGAATGGAGCACTGGGGTGGGCTTGCATTTTGCAAGCGTGGGTTGTGCCTGCAACCCCTCCTGCAAATTGGGCCCCCACTAGCAGAATGGTCAGCTGTGCCCCTGCATCTCATCTAGCTTGCAACGTAAGACTCTAAGGCAGGAAATGCATGCCCTTTTTATTCCATCTTTCCAACTTTTAAGATAAAAGCTAATACAACTTCACTTCAAAACTGCAATTTCATTTTCAGAAACAAAGAAATAGAGCGCCTAGAAAAGGTTCAAAGTAATGCTGCTACAAAGTGAGGAAAACCTTGCTGTCTGCTGAAGCAGGCCTGTGTGCACACCCATAGGGAAGGACAGTGGGAAAGTTCAATTATCTACAGTCTGCTACATTAGGAAAATTCATGTAAGCCCAAGTTTCAACTTCTTTCTAGAGCCATGTTTTTTCGGAAAACTGCAAGGTAGGAGCTTGTATCGTATCTAGCTGAAATCGGTACACATGCTGCAGCCAGCGCATCGGGCTCTCATCATCCATTGAGAGTTGCAGCAAGCAGTATATCTGTCCAGCTGACATATCCTCATTGTAAAGAGCAAATTCATACCAAAATGCTTCAGTGCCCATTGCTGAGGAGCTACATGTTCTGCATAACCACAAGGCACTTACTGAAAACTGGACTAGCATGTCTAAATCTACTCTTCCCCATCTCACAGCGAAGGAAACTGAGGCACACAATGATTTGTCCTGTATTATAGAAAGCATCAGTAGCAGCACAAGAAATAAAAGCTGATTAACAATTACAGTAACACTGTTGTTCAATGTGTCCTTAATGTCAGCACAAGAAAAAAAAAAAAAAAAGCCTAAAACACTCAAGTCAAAGTAATTTTATTAATAACTCACAAGAGCAAATTGCTACATTTTACTGAGAGAAAACCCCAGCTTTATGTACCAGAGCAGAACTTGGGAAGCTGCATACTAAAATGCCGATTATGCAAATTTATCTTATGAACATTTTTAGACAAGAATGAAGCAGGGTTTATTTTCTTTAATTAAAAACAGAATCCTACATAGTTCATTAGCATGGATTCAGAGCAGAATGAATATTAATGCAGCCCACCTCTCCCAATTCTATCTGCCAGAAATATCAAGGAAAAAAAGGTTACAAAATGGATTCCTGAGCAACTGTAAATGCAACTAGCGTCACTGCAATTCTGCTGGTATCTTTGAAAGGTCACAAAGATCAGGAAAACCTTTTTGACCAGAAGAAGGTAAATGATGCTGCCATCTTCAAAAAGGCAAGAAAGATGATCTGGGGAACAACAGGCTGATCAGCCTCACTTCAGTCCCCAGGAAAATTACAGAATAAGCCATCATGGAAGTCATTCCAGGCACATGAAATACCAGGTGATGGGGAGCAACCAGCCAATGCCGATTTACCAAGGGCACAGTCTGCCTGCCCATCCTGCCTGCCATCCAAGAGGCAATGGCTGGCTCTGTGGAGGAGGGGACACAGCAGATGTGATTCATCTTGACCCCAGCAAGGCTTCTGACAGCATGTCCCACGGTAGCCTTACAGCTGGACTGAGGATATGAACTACAAGGTGGGTGAAAAACTTCTGGACCACTGGACTCAAAACAGTCGGTAGTTCAAGTTTAACTCTCAAGTGGTTACAAGTGACATTCCTCAGTAGACAAAACTAGGGCAAAGTGTGTTGAACATCTTCCTTAACAGAAGAGAGCCCAGCTAAGGACACTGGTTTGTCCAGCCTGAGAAAGAGAGCGCTGAGAGGAGTGGTAACTGCAGATTTTCACTAGAGAAGGGACTGCGAAGGAGACAAAGCCAGACTCTTCTCAGGCATTCAATGAAAGGGCAAGAGACAACAACTGCAAGCTGCAGCCAGCGAGTTGGCCATGAAGAACAAATGCTTGCCCATGAGAGTAGGTAAGTGCTGGAACAGGCGCTCAGACAGGCTGTGGAACCACCACTACCACCAGAGGTTTCCAAACCTCAAGGTCTTGAGCAACTTGGTCTAGCTTTAAAGTTGGCCTGGTACTTTGCAGAGTGTTGGACTAGATGACCTCCAAATGACCTTGCAACCTAATTTTTTCTATGATTGTACTTGCAACCTAATTTTTTCTATGATTGTATTGTATACAATTGTATATGTAAATAGAAGAAGTTGAATCAGTGAAAAGCTACCAGTCACATTTATTCTGGCAGGGCTTCAGGCGGTTCCAGCTGTCAGGTCTCTGACACCATTACTGAGCTTCTTCAGCCAAAAACTTCATATACTGTTTCCGAGCAGGAAAATCATCAGCCGGCCTGTTGTATGCTGTCCAGACGGGTTCTCCAACAAATAGCCTCATTGCCTTCACGTAATTCTGTCAAAGAACAAGAAGTGACAAGTAATTTAAGAGCTCCTTTCCTTGGGATCTTCATTCTGAAGTTAATGTTTCATTTGCACCCCTGCAGAAATTTTTGAAACCATTTCAAGATGGACTGAAAGCTTCAAGTGTTCCAGAAAATTATAGCACTGTGCTGCTGTTCCTGATCACGGTTAGTGTAGTGGGAGATTTTGCACCTATGCAGTGATATACTGTGTCACAGCCAGTGCCTCCAACTCAGGCAGAGACAGTATTTCTCCCTGTTTCAAAGAAACCAAAAAAAATCCTGTCTTATGCAAATCTTTTGCACTGGATCCACAATACTGAGCAATACAGCATCTAAATCCTGCTTGCTTAGTTAAACAGCAGCAATCAGAATACCCAAGATGGCTACACAATACTTTTGAGGAATACCAGAAGCTTCAAAGTGAGAGCCATAAAAGCTGAATGGGGAGTGTATAAACTAGACAGAAAAATAATGCTAGGGGAAGTGAAGTCTCCAGATTCACCCAGGAAAAGTAACAGCCTCTGCCATCATCTAAGAAAAAGTATGCCAGGTGCAAGGTACAGCTGCAGCAGCAGAAAATGAGGTCTTACATCCTGTAGAAGTGCTCCCACCACTGAGTTATGGGGAATTCTCCTCTCTTCTGTCCACTATGCTACAGATTTAGACCCTGCCTAATTTGTAAAACTGCTAAGGGCTTATCTTGCACCCAGGTGCTTAGCAATGCCAATAATAAAGTTAGTTATATAAATAATTCAGCTGCAAAATGCAAGGGTCTAGAAACACCTGAGGAATTTATTTCAGTGATGGCATTTCTGGACTAAAGTTCCTGAAGTGGACAAACCTTTAAGATTTCTTGTGGATTCAACTCATAACCCCTGACATTTTGCCTATGTAAAGAAAAAGCCTTAAACTAGCAATTGTAGCTGATTCACTGTGAATCGTAAAATGCAGATGTGAAAAGTTAGGATTTTCACCAATGCAGCACCTCCCTTTTTTACATGTATGACAACTGCTATCTGGACAGCTGATTCAAAATGACACCGTTCTCAAAACCATGCCGAGATGGGATTCTGCCACACAGGAGACAGCACACATTTCCCCATTTTCCAGGGGTAATGCTGAGGTTAAAAGCATATTTATAAAAGCCCACAAGGACAGACACACAGATCAGGACTACATGTGCCAAAAATAGCCTCTGAAAGCAGGTCACCTCCTGTGAAGCCAGCATCCAGTCTAGCACACACTAGCTGCAAGTAGTGGCTATGGACCCTTAAAATCCTTCATTCCCTGAAGGTGAATTTAGCATTCCTGAAAAATGCCACAGTGGACACAAATATGCTCTGTGTATGCCCACAAAGATACACAACAAGACAACAGAAGGATCCATCTACACCATCTCCACCTCAACCGACAGCAGGGGCCATTGTGTGAGGGACAGCCGCAGGGCTTGGCTCTCACGCTGCTGTCTCCTAAAATATGCTACAGCTATCACGTGGCAATGACTTGCAGTTACAGCTGACAAGAGGAAGCTGGATTTGTGACCTGGAGATGAAAGGTTCAGACGCTGTGAATTATTTAGTATTTTTCATATTCCTGCTTCATATTTAATATGTTTTGCTAATGAACTGCAAGTCTCAGGGCATGTAGTTACTAACGTGATCTGTACTCACATGGATTTGTCATCAAAATTTACAGTAATCTGTAACAACATACGTTCTCATCCAGTGTAAATCGGTGATAGATGCCGGCAGGGAGGGTTATCATGTCTCCTTTTTCCATGGAAATCCGGATCCATTTGTCATCCTTGTCTCGAACATCAAAATAGCCAGATCCATCCAAGACGTAGCGAATTTCATCATCTAGGTGTAAATGTTCTTCATAAAATGTTTTTATCTAGGAATAACAAGTATCTCTTAAAACCAGTGAACACAGAAAAAATGCAAAGAAATCTGACAGAAACATGTGGCAAAGCAGACAAAGGCTTTCAAAGGGTGATTTAACTAACAGATGAGACCAACACAGTTAAAATGGCCAGTCCAACCAGACAGACGCTGCCTCAGGTGACTTCTAAGCAGCCTGCTGCACTTCCTTGGGAAGACGGGACTTTCTCTGACAAGAAACAGCACCTATAGCTTCACATAACCAGTCTCTGAATAACAGTAAAGCTTACATCCATTTGAGAGAGAGGTGCGTAAAACTTCCCATCACATGATTTGGTCCTCACAGTTGTTCAATTTGATCATTTTGTGCATTTTTTTTCACTGACGAGTAAAAATAAAACAGAGCTACAGATTATCCCCCCTCTTTTACACTGGTGTAGGGCTGAATTAGCCCCACAGGCTACAACTGTATGTGAAAATGCAGTTATTGCCAAACATGGCCCACCTATAGCAATCTGATGTAAACAGCATGTCACACCTGCCCCCACACACTGAGCCCCAGCTCCAGGCTCTCTCCTCCAGGGCAGCAGCATCAGCAACATTCTCATTTTTTCCAGAATGGTGAATTCTTTGTACATTTCACAGCACAGAACAAAAATGCTTTAAAGGTTCAATTAACAAGAGACATGAGTGGGTTAGTGCACTGAGAGCAGTGCAGTGCCAGGTAACATCACCTGCTCAGGTCTGGATGCTGTTTAGCCACAGTAGTGCAGGTGTCCCTGAGCCAGTGCTGATCCAGCATGGCAAGATGAGCAGAAGTCCACACGCCCAGTCAATAACAGCCCGTCTTTGTGTCAGGTAGAGACCATCCAAGCAACCCGAGTTACTACCTAATTCACCTCATCAGTTTAAAACCAGTATAACACAATGGGCTTAAAACGAACTGGTGTATTGGGTTTGTGTGGCAAGGTTTTGGTAGTGGAGGGGCTATGGGGGTGGCTTCTGTGAGAAGATGCTAGAAGCTTCCCCCATGTCTGACAGAGCAATGCCAGCCAGTGCCAAGACGGACCTGCCGCTGGCCAAGGCCGAGCCCATCAGCCATGGTGGTAGCATGGGATAACATATTTAAGAAGAGGGGGGGGAAAAAAACCCTGTGCAACTGGAGCCAGAGAGTAAAGTAGGAATATGTGAGAGAAAGAGTCCTGCAGACACAAAAGTCAGTGCAGAAGGAGGGGGAGGAGGTGCTGCAGGCACCAGAGCAGAGGTTCCCCTGCAGGCCGTGGTGCAGCCCATGGGGAGGCAGCTGTGCCCTGCGCGCATGGAGGGCAACGGTGGAGCAGAGACCCACCTGCAGCCCGAGGAGGACCCCACACCAGAGTAGATGGATGCCCAAAGGAGTCTGTGACCCCATGGGAAGCCCACACTGGAGCAGGCTCCTGTCAGGGCCTGTGGTCCCGTGGGGGACCCACGTTGGAGCAGTTTGTGAAGAAATGCAGCCTGTGGGAAAGACTCACGTTGGAGAAGCCCATGGAGGACTATGTCTCGTGGGAGGAGTCCTTCCCCTGAGGAGGAACGAGCAGCAGAAACATGATGAACTTATCACAATTCCCATTCCCCATCCCCCTGCACTGCTCAGGGGAGAGGAGGTAGAGAAAATCAGGAGTAAAGTTGAGCCTGGGAAGATGGGAGGTGTCGGGGGAAGGTGTTTTAAGATTTGTTTTTTATACCCTCATTATCCTGCTTTGATTTGATTAGCATTAACTTAACTTAATTTCCCCAAGTTGAGTCTGTTTTGCTTGTAACAGTAATTGGTGAGTGATCCCTGTCCTTATCTCAACCCATGAGCTTTTCATTATATTTTCTCTTCGGTGTCCAACTGAGGAAGGGATAGAACAGCTTTGGTGGGCACCTGGCGTCCTGTCAGGGTCAACCCACCACAACTGGTATACGGAAATTCAATGAAAATATGGAAGTGCCACTGGGTTACTGTCCTCAGATCAGAGCAGCACACCAGCACCTGGAGGCTGGGAGGAGCAAGCTCTTTCTAGGAGGCTTGTCTGAAAGCCTGGCACCATTTGCCTTCAGCTGTTATGAAACAGTCAAGGTACCAAGTTCCCAAGGTAAAAAAATCTTGTATGGAGAATGTATCCCTCCGATTCCCTGAAGTTAACATTCACTTTGAAAAGTTGTATTTTGCAAGCAGCCGTTAGGGTATTTGAGCCTCCAATGCCCGTGCCCAACTGGCAATCATCAGCCTTCATCCCAGGGAGGGTCTCAGAACAGGTGGGTATTGGCAGGGCTCTGCTGGTAGGAATCTTAGTTTTGAAATGACATAGTGATGGAAACTACGCTTAAAACCTTCAAAGGCAATCCACAGAAACAAAAAGCCTCTTATATTTTCAAAATAATATCAAAACTGCTTTTGGAATGTTAAGGACTTCAGTACAGGATGTATTTTACACCTGGAATTCTCATCTCTGTTCCTGCTCAGGGTGCGCAGGTGTTAAGAAGCTGGCTGCACGCACCCGCGATAGGTTTCAGGGCGCAAATCCCCTTTGAAAGCAAAGACTCGCATACCTTTTCCTCATAATTTGGAAGTCTGTCTTTATGTATGGTTATTATATCCATCCAAGAATAATTTTCTGCTCTCCGAATCTCTTTCAGACATGGATCAGTCTCATAGTTATCAGCATCCAACTAAAACACAGGCAGGGGGGAAAAAAGCATTCAGACAGGACTGCTGAAGCCGCCATTCGGGGCGCTGAGGTGCAAAAGCCCGAGGAGCGGCAGTGGCGGGGCCGGTCCCTCCGGGGGCAGCCCAGTTGGCCGCCCCAGCAAAAGAGGGGTGACAGCCCCGAGGGCCTACCTGCACCCGCTCACCCCCCAGACACCGCCCGGGCCGCTCCTGCTGCCTCCCCCTCCGCCGGTCGGGCAG